CGCGCGCACGCACACACACACATACACATGTATATTATGTTTCGCATCCCTAATATACATATATACATATAGGATGTCATCGGTCTGGTGGTACAGGCCGAAAGGAGGTAAATCTATGTGAAAGAATAAGTCGAAAAAAAATAATGTTTTTTTCGTTTTCGAGTAAATCGATGTTGAAGACTCGTACATTTTTGTTAAAGTGTGCGTACGCTTTTATATGATCTTAATTGTGTTTATGTTTGAAGGATATGATTGTGCTGTTTCAATTATCGTTCCGATTTCTAACATTAGGTACTAAGGGATAAACATTGAAATAAAACGATAACGATCTTTGTAATAATTAGCAGCCACAGATGCGTTGCCGGCACACGCATCCAACGTGAGTATCATATCAACGTACTCTCTGTTGCTGTATGTCGACATATCGATAGAACGATAAAGACTGGAAGTCTGTCACGTAAATAGCAACAAGTTCATATATGCAGACCCAACAAAAACTAGTCTATGTGTACATGAATTCAACGAATCTTCAACACCGATTTACTCGGAAACGAAGCCTTAAACGAAAAAACATTATTCTTTCTTTTTGACTTATTTTTTCATGTAGGTTCACCTCCTTGCGGCTTGTACCACCAGATCGGTGACAGCCTGTATACTAGGGATGCGAAACGTACTTTAATAAAAAAAAAGTGAATTCCTACGAATCGTCGGGGAAAAGAATACTAAGAGTACTTCCGTACTACTTGTACAATGAGTTTCAATTTCTACAACTGTACTTATGTATATCATTTTAATTCAAGATATCAAGCTTCAAGAATTTTTCACAGTCTTCGAAACTATAACTGAAAAGATACACGGTTCTAAATAGAATAATATAGGAATCGAACAGCTCGCTTGCACACACACGATCAGCTTCGAATATTTTTCAAAAATAGAAAAAACAGGATCGGGCTAATAAATGATCGGACCAAATACGTACCGTAGTTTGTAGCTTTACGCCTTTATAACATATCCAGCAAAAAAGAAACAAAGAAAATTTGATTCGTGTTTTCCACTACACGTCTAGCTTGTATATATGTATATGTACGTGTACATGTACATGTACTGTACAATAATTATGAATATATTCTATGTATAGATGTGCGAAGTTTCGTGACGATTTCCCGTCAATCTCAGAATACGGTTTATGTTTTAGTAGAGGTTAGCACTTGTTTGTTCAAATATATTTCTATACGAACCCTCGCGCGAACGAGGAAAAGAATTTATTGTGATAGATCTTAGCATTTAATAAATGTAAAATTATCACTGATTCGTCTTATGGTAACGGTTGTGAATAAACCCACACGAACATTATTATTACTATTATTATTACTTCTGTTTTTTTCCCTCCCTTTCCTCTGAAATCAATTTCATTACCACTATTGCAATTAAAACAGCGTGCTCGTGCTCGCGCTCTTTTTAGTTCTTTTCCGTACAATCAGATGGCGCATATTCTTCCTCGTAGCGGCTCTCTGCACTCTGTTAGCATTGTTATATAGCATTCCAATTTTTTTAACCATATCAGTTATATTTTCAAGCCTGCAATGAGTAAATATGATATGCATATGCTGGTACCAGTGATATGTCAATGAACTTAAACATTCAAAGTCTATATTATACCAGCAAAATTTCATATAGCAAGTAGCTACAGTCTTGCGTTGTAAGCCACGCGATACAAACCGTAACGCGTAAGTACTCCTGGTTAAAGACGGGTAATGTTAAGGAAACGTTAAGAAAAGTTCACAAAGATGCAGTGGCTACCCCTGATATTAACAGAAATATTCCTGGCTTATACTGCTTACTCGATTTATGATTTATCTCTGTTATTTGTGGCACCGTCTTGTGAGGAAGGTAAACCATGCTTAATGACGTATTTGTCTCAAAAGCCACAACTGCAACTGCAAATTTACAGTTCTGTCGACAAATATCCTACCGATCGGCAAATCGATTTCGTATATACTAATGAGAATTTTAATTATACATATGCAAGTAGTCTGTGAGTATAAAATGCCTACTGCTAAAGCTGCATGCATCTGTGTGCCTTTTGTATTTGAATGTTTTCATATCTTTCTTTTAGACCTTTGACTTTAAATATTCCACGCAAAACACGAAATAATGGAACGTTATTTCTTCATATTATCATTGCACCAAATTCCAAGAAATATGGAAAAAGTGTCCTTGATACACAAAAGGTATATATAAAAAATAATATGAATCGCATTTGTACATGCTTTTTATTTCGTACAATTTTATTGTAGGATCCATATGTATCTTATACTGTTATTAAAATGACACAATATACAATTCCTGAAGCAGAAGCTTTTAACTTATTGGGTAAGAAAAGTTTAGATCCAAAGAGAAAGATACAAAACTTGGCGAATCCTGTGACTCATATTAAGAGTCATGTGACATTTACAGTAATGACAGATGATGTAAATCTTCCAGTGCTTAATGTACCTATGGAGCTTGTAAATCACTTGAAGTGTGTTAATGAATTTACTATTAATGGCCACTAGAAGATAAGAATACAATGAATTTTTATCTTTTCAGAATTATACAGGGTAGAACATTTTTACCTATAGTTAATTATGATTTTCTGCAAACAAGATATCGTGATCTGGTGAAAATCATGCCTCACAATAATACAGTTAATATTACCTTGCAATATTCTCCAATTTCCCTTGGAAAATTAAGGTTGCTATTGCATGTGGAACCTATTATGCAAAGTTTAAAAGATCTTGGTTTTTCTGATAAAAATATAGATGAAGTGAAAGGAATTTTAGCAGACACTAACATATATGTCTTAGGAGGAGCAGTCTTCATTACAGTTATTCATGTATGTAAATTAAATGATGGATGAAACAAAGCTTGCAATGTAATTTAATGACATTTCTAACTTCCATAGTTGCTATTTGATTTTCTTGCCTTTAAAAATGATGTGAGTTATTGGAGGAGAAAAGATAATCTTGTAGGTCTCAGTAAGTGGACTGTTATATGGCAAGCATTCAGTCAAACTGTCATCTTTCTTTATTTAGTAAATGAAGGTTTATCTTTGCTTGTTCTCATTCCATGTGGTATTGGATCTCTTATTGAGGTAATGTTAAATGTATATAATCATTAATTATATATAAGTTTAACATCTATATTTTTCTTAACAGATGTGGAAATTGAGAAAGGTGTTGAAGCTTAGGCTTAAGAAAGGTGATAATAATATGGCTGAAATTAAAACAAGGGAATTTGATACAGAGAGTATGCGTTATTTAAGCTACATGTTATATCCTCTTGTGGTTGGAGGTGCAATTTATTCCTTACTTTATAAACCTCACAAAAGGTACAGGAGTGCATTTAAATTTATTCATAATAGAGAGAGATATTTGTATTGATAATATTTTATATTCAAGCTGGTACTCGTGGAGCATAAATTCGTTGGTAAATGGCGTGTATGCGTTCGGATTTTTATTCATGCTTCCTCAGCTTTTTGTCAATTATAAACTGAAGTCTGTAGCGCATTTACCATGGAGAACGTTTATGTATAAAGCATTTAATACATTTATCGACGATGTTTTCGCATTTATAATCTCGACACCAACTGCGCTTAGAATAGCTTGTTTCAGAGATGACGCTGTTTTCATCGTTTATCTTTATCAAAGATGGTAAGTTAAAAATTTCCATTTGAATGCTATACGTTTTTAATATAAACAAATATTTTTATCTACAGGCTATACCCGGTGGATAAATCTCGTCCAAATGTTGACGCCATTAGTGAGGAATCTGTTGATTTTTCAAATTCGAATAAAAAGAAGAATTAAAGTAGACTTATTAAACTATTAATATTATTTTTATTGTGAACAAAATCAGTTATGCATAACGCCTGATATTAATATGAACATATAAGTGTTGCAGTTTTCGTACAATTTTAAAAACGAACGGAAATATAAGTATTTCCGGAATGTGATTATATTAGGAAAATAATGACTCATTAACATATGAAATTAGAATGAAAGATATTTCTTTTATGTTATTCATAATTAGGTGAAACAAATATTTCCTTAAATATAATAGTGTAAACGCATTTTACTAACAGTCAGCTATCAACAGCTTATAGTACACTGCAGACACATTTGAATCAACTCAGAAATATATCAACTTTACGTTACTCTATGACAGTTGTTGCGAGAGAAAGGGAGAAAATGGAAGAGGAAGTTGGGAAAGGGAGAGTGCTTTTAGTCTTTAGCCATCCTAATGAAATTGTCCGTAATTTGGAAGAAAAATAGGTTGTAATAAGAAGTCATACTTTTTGGAATAGCAGGCTAGGAAGAAGCTTGCGAGAAAATGTGTTTTACCAGTTAGTCTTTCGGGTAGTGATATAGGACGTACCGCTACAAATCTCTTGAATGACTTGTAATGAAATGAGACAGCATTTTAAGCATGTTAATTACAGATAATGATATAATCAATAGATAAGGCAGGCTATTACGTTACGGATAAGATACAAATTTATTACATTCGGTTGTACTTGATCTATTTATAGCTAGCTATAATCATGTATACTGCAAATTCTGTTATGTTGTGTGGAATTGCATTTATGATGTGTGGAAGCCAATTCTGGTGGTGTGGTGTACAATTATGTTAAGCAACTGTTTGTTGAGATCATTCGCAAGATCTGCTTATGACAGCCAAGTAGTAGGTGAATGATAAGCAAACTACTAGTACGATTGTTGTGTGTTCGTAGATAATTGATGTTTAGAATTAATTACTATCTTTAAATTGATCGAAAATAAGTTAAAATATCGGCGCAAAAAATATTTAAATCGAAGAGCACATAATTTATTTGTAAAAGATTCACAACTGTTGAAATGCAGTTTCTTTTTCAAAAATTTTAGTTTAGTTTTTATCTACCTCATCAGCCGATAAGTAAAAGTGATATAGATAAGCAATTCTAATTGAACTTTGTGTTCTAATATTTTTTGACGGTAGTAATATGTAATAATATAGACATTCTCATATAAAATTATCAATACCAGTCGTTTAAAAAACGTACTTCAGGATGGCAGAAATTCTACTTATCTGTAAAATTTTGATTTCGTTTTTCCTTCCTTTACTTCTATGTCTTTGGATTAACAAAATCCTTAAGAAAGAAAGTTCATCATGTTTGGATTCGAAACGTAAGATGCCAAGTAAGTATCTTTCATTCATTTGTATAGATGAAACAGGTATATTTGTATTAATATAACTCGTTTTTAGATGTTTATTTCTTACTAAAACGTTGGTGCGCCGAGCATTGTATTAACAGGAGAAGGAAACAAGAAAAAAATTCATACAATTATAAACAAAATCACTTGGAAGATTCCAAAATCAAAGATAAAGATGCAAGTACTATTTATTTTGTTAAACTAAGAATTGTGATTTTCAGCTAATTAACTGTAACTTTTTTTAAATTTAGAGTGCCAATAGCATACTTTTTTATGGTACAGATAAAACAAGAAATTCTCTATTCATTAAATTTTCTCATAAAGCATTTAAAATAGCAGAACTGTCACTGCAGCTTACTACAGCTGATGGTCAACTATATGTTCTGCCTGGTAGATAAATATTTATCACTACATTTTTTTTCCCCTAATAAACAACATAAAATAATCTAGAAATTTTTTAACAGCTTATCCTGATACCACATTAGTGAGTAGCTTGAATCAGGAATGGACAGCAGCTGGTCTTAAAATCGAGTTTTTGCAATTCCAACGACGTTGGAGAATAATTTATAATGGCATACTGAGAAACTTCACTAAGGGTGATGAATGTAGTGATGAAAATGTTGAACATATTCGTTTGAACTTTATGTAATAAAAACTATTAGTTCATTAGTAATCAAATTAAATATTGAGAAGATAATTAATATTTCTTTCTGTTTAGATTTATTGCAAACTCTCAACCATTAAGGTGGCCAGAAGATTGGAGCTCAAAATTGCATGCAGAAGCTTTAGCTTGTGAGCCATGGAAGAGCCCTCAGTGGATGAATAAAATGTATTGAATAAGTACAAGAATTTTAGTATAAACTATTATTTTTTTTGTATACATAAATAATATATTATTAATTTTTGCAGAAAATTATTAGACTATACAGGTTTTGATCAATGGGGATCTATGATAGGACAAATAACATATAAAGATGGATCTGTTTCCGCATTGTATTTACGTGGGCTTCATCAACATCGTTGGGGAAAGCACGAATCTCATGAATTTCACGAATCAGTTACACTATTTGGAATAATGTCATATGGTGCTATGTATTATCTTAATATGAGCAGTACAAAAAATAGTTTTCCGCAGTAAGTTAAAAAGTATATTATGATTGGATATTATAACTTTTAAGGTAACATTGGTGAGCAAAAGATTTTTATTTCAGAATACAATTTGGTCAATATAGAAATAATAGTGAAGACGAATGTAAGATTGACAAAATAGGACTCACATTATCTGATTTTATGTCAGCAAAGTTTAATCCTAATTCAGACTACAAAACATGGTTCACAGGTAATATGACGTTGGTATAAATCTTTTATGTTTTACGTTGAAACATCTTTAAATAATTATTGCAAATTTTATTTCAGCTGAGAATAAAAGATACAATATTCTAATAAAACCTAAAAACTCAATAAAATTTTACTATGGTGAGCCATGGAACTGGCAAAGCAAAATTGTTAATGTTAAATTAGAAATAAACGGACAGTCAGGTATAATTATTAAAGCATTCCAATAGAATATTTCTATATTACATAAAATATAGGAAGCAGTAATATTTAATAGGTACTGGATTAATACAATTGTGGTCACCGTATAATGGACCTTGTCAAGGAAAAGTGCATTCACCGTTACAATTTTTAAAACAAGTTAATATGCTCGTCCAAAGAAAAGATTACGTAGTTTATTTCAATGATAGAAAATGCCAAAATGAAAATATTGTTGGTGGAAAAGGATTTTCACTTGCGATGTTAACTTCGGTTCAAAATGCAGATGTGAGTAATGCTATAGATCGTTTTACTTGAATTATTTTAATACGTGATAATCTTCGCAGTTTGTTGTACCTAAAGGATTTTGTGTGACTGTTTTTGCCCTTGAATTGCAATTACACATGCATAAGGAATTACAGAAAATAATCAATGATATTGAGGATGTCAGTGTTGGTAAAAAGGATGGTGATCTTCAAAACTATTGCGAGGAGTAAATTATTTACTACTTATAAGAATTGAAAATTATTTAATAGGATATTACTACGTAAATAATCTTTAATTTTATTTCTAGAGCTATGCATATTATCGAATCAACTCCTATTGTTGAAGAAGTAAAAGGTGCAATTGTAAAGGCAATAGAAAACTTAGAATCAGAAAATGACAACGATAAACCGTCGAAATACGCGGTACGATCTAGTGCTGTAGGTGAAGATAGTGAGGAAACCTCAGCAGCTGGTCAAAACTCAACTTATTTAGGTATCCAAGGCATTGACAATATCATCAAAAGTATAGCTATGTGTTGGGCAAGTTTGTTCTCGTATCAAAGTGTCGAATACAGGTAACACGACAATGTAATCAGCGTGTAAGGTAATGTAATATTATCTTAATATTTCTGACACTGACACTGAATAATCCGTATATTAGGAAACAGCATGGTATATTTATAAAATCATCTATGAGTGTTTGCGTGCAAAAGATGGTAAATGCTGATGCCGCTGGTGTTATGTTCACCAGACATCCAACTACTGGTGATCCTTCCAACATTATTATTACAGCTAATTATGGATTAGGAGAGGTATAATCTTTATAAGTATGATGATTATAAGTTGTAAAAATAGATAATTAACGATCGCTCCTTAATTGTTTAGTCTGTTGTGTCAGCAACAGTTGAACCAGACACAATAATTGTTCATAAAAGTTGGAATAATGAATTAACTATAAAAAGCTCATTCGTAGGAAACAAAAAAAAAAAGATTTTAACAGGAGATAATGGTGTGGTTACCATGGAACTGAATGAGCAAGAGAACAAAACAGTGTGTGTGTCAAAACAAATTGCTTTACGATTAGCTGACATAGGAGTAAATTTAGAAACTTTGTTCGGTAGTGCCAGAGATATAGAATGGGCAGTGGTCAAAGAAAATATTTATTTACTTCAAGCTCGACCTATTACCACTTTATATAGCTGGACAGATTTTGAGCTAACGCATGAATTAGATACAAGCGTCCCTAGCGATATTGATATTATAACATTCGCTAATGTAGGCGAAGTATTTCCAAATCCTATGTCGCCTTTGACGATCTCCGTGATTATAGGAGCATTTGAAACAGGAATATGTAATGCCTTCCACATTGCGAATCGTATTTTCTTTACTGTCGTAGGAATGAAATGCGCCATAAACTATTACAATGTAAGTTATTGGTTTAACAAGAAAGACGTATATATAAAATTTAATTTATCATTATTACAGATGTTTTTACAAGATCCTTCCAAAAAAATAACACTTTTAAACAAAGTTATTGATATAGCTGTTTGCGGAAATCTCGTAGTAACACCAGAAATTCACAAAGTAAGCCACTCTATGGCGTCAAATATTTATCATGTATAAAATGGTAGATGATGCAATTAAAAATAGCAAAGTAGAAAAAATTGCGAGAGAACTTCATAAAAATTTAACTTTGAATGCAGAAGATTTTCATACTGCATACAGTTTGTATAATGAAATTAACCAACAATTTCAACAATTTTTTAAAGTAAGTATATTCAGATATCAGTATCTTTTAATAGACTACTTAATTGTATGAAACATTTAGGGAACAGAATGTCATATGCATACATCGAGAGTCAGTATCACTTATCAAATTTTTGCAATGGCGCTTCTAACAAAAGGTTACAAGGACTTGATACCGGAGCATTTTTCGGATATTGCTCTTTTGCTCGGGTCTTGCAGCGATATTGTTAGTGCTGAAATGTTAACGAGTCTTAAGAAAATAGTAATTTACATTAAAAAAAATGAAAAGGATGAGGAATTTAAGAAAGTGGATCCTAAGAAGGGTATTAACTGGTTAAAAGTCAATTGCCCATCAGCTGCAAAGGAATTAGACAGCCTACTTAAAGAGCATGGACATAGATGTATTCAAGAAATGGATTTCTTATCAGAACCATGGTCCCTTAGGCCTGAGAACCTTATTACTACGCTACAGGTACATTCAATTATTTGAGTATATATGAATAGAAGAATAAATTGCATCACTTTCGTTAGACGATGATGGCTATTCCCGGAACGAACAAATTAAGCAAAACACTTAGTGCAGAAGAAACAGTGGCGCAATTAAAGACACCAAAATCGACAATTACTAAATGGCTTTTGAAAAAGCTTGTACCTCGTTGTAGGAAAGCTGTTGTAGATAGAGAATTGACGAAAGCGATATTTGTAAGCATTGTACATACATTTAGACTAGCTTACAGAGGACTTGGAAAATTGATGGCCTTAGAGGGGTATCTACCCAGCGAGGATTTAATATTCTTTCTAACACATGGAGAATTAGGACAAATGTTGACTCATCATAATAGAACACTTGTGCAAAAGTAATAAAACAATTAATTAAATTTCTTTGCAGATATAATTCATTGATATATTTCAACAATTTTTTCAGAGCTTTTCGTAGGAAAAGAAATTTTCCTCGGCTAAAAGATATAAAATATCCAGAAATTAATATTGGAATGCCAATTCCTGAGGAGGTAAATCAGTATATTCATTTTTACAGAAATACTATTCGTAAAAATACTAAAATGATGTTATATTACAGAGTAATTTAAATATGGTAGTGGACGATAAATCAATAAAAATTCAAGGAACACCAGTATGCGGTGGCTCCGTTCTTAATAGAGCATGTGTGATCACAGATTTGGGGGATGCGCAAAAAATACAACCGGGAGATATTTTAATTACTCACTCTACAGACATTGCTTGGAGTCCATACTTTCCGTTACTAAGTGGCATAGTCACCGAACTCGGAGGACTTATAAGTCATGGTGCAGTAGTAGCTAGAGAATACGGTCTTCCATGTATAGTAGGGGTTAAGAAAGCTACACAAATATTCCAAACAGGTAATGTATTGTTTTTCTTTATGAAAAGAAGAAAATATTAAAATATAAACACGTTTTTAGGCGATACTGTATTATTGGCTGCCGATGCCGGTGCTTTGCAACTGGTAAAGAAACACGATTAAAAAGGTTGTATAACTTAACAATTCAAGATGAAATTTGTTGTATGTATTCACATTAATAGCGACAAACGTGTGGACTGAAATAGAGAAACCTACTGTTGTAACAATGTGAAAAATATTAGCAATAAATGTAATAAATACTTAGATCCTCAGGTTTATTATTAAAACTATACAGTAGTAACGCGATTAGGATCAGCAATCAATGTAGGAGTATTATTTGTTGTATCACTGGCAAGACATGATAGTTGCAAATGCATGGACGTTGCCACTTTCGATAATAACATGTCAATTCTCATGCAATCGTCTTTGTTAATAGGATGCGGTATTGCGTCCAGAGCCTCTTCGAAGAAGTTCCTAAAAATTGGAAATTAAAAATTAACGTATCTTATAATAATATAATCGCAAGGACCAATGAAAAATAAATCATTACTTTGCTCTAGTTGTACTATAAGACTGCAAAGCGTTCCGCAAAAGTATAATGTCGGTTCGTGCTTGCACTATTCCAGGAGGTCGAAATTGAGTAACACAAGACATAAGCCTTGCAAGTTCTTCCGCTACAGTCTCAACTATATGAGATAGCACACGTTGTAATAAAGCTGGTGCGACACGACGTACCTGCAAAAAAATTACAATCACAAAATTACGATTTCTTATTTCTTCTTTGAATGAAATAGTAAATGGTAATTACCTCTGCGTGAACTGCGACTAAATTTGCTAAGATTTCTTGCGCGTACGGCTTCACGTGAGTAGGTTCAGTCTCAAAATCCCATTCTAGACCGCCTAGATACATACTCGGTTCAATTGTACCGACCAATGGATCGCAGCGGCGTTCCAAATACGCGTCCAAGACAGCAGTATCCAGTGTCTCCAGTTGTGTCCAATCGGAATTCCATCCAACCGCGTTTGACAAGTTTGGATAATCCTGATCCTTTAAGACGTCTCCAATTCTTGGTAGGACAGTGTTCAGTGTATAACGAATATTACTTAATGAGATTAAGAGGCACTGTTCCCACGTCTGATAAAAAATTCAGAAGTAATGCTAAAATATAGCAGACTTCAAAACATGCTACAAATTGTATATTTTTTTTTTGCAATGGCAGTTAATATATGGACTATCTGCCCTGAAATAAATAGTCTTCTCTATAAACATACCACACTGTAAATGTATTAAACAACTTACTGGGCCTTGATGTTTGTTACTCTTGCTCTTATAGACAGATGGAGAACCAACTAATTGCGAGACTGAAGGTTCATCGTCGTCTAAAGCATCCTCGCAGCCATTAAATGCCAATTGTTGTAGACATCGTGTAAATGATGTGAACAATGTCTTAACAGAATTATAAAATAAAAGTTGGTGCACAGGATTCGCGAACAATGGTCCTTCTCGAGGACCGCAAGCGACTACCGTATCTCGCGCTCGCTTTGAAACTTCCATAACCATTTCTTCGAATAGATATGGCTGTATAACGATGAAAATAAATATTTGATAAAAAAATACTTAATACTAAAATTTTAGTAAAAACAATTCAATTATTACCACTTTCGTAACGCCACCATCTTCGTTCAGATATTCAATCTGCCAAGTTTCTTTCTTATGTAAAGCTGCTATATTTTCAGCGGTTTGTTTAAAAAGAGCACCAAAGCACTGCAATCTGATTGAAAAAATCATTAGCTTATTATATAGAGAAATTGAAGAATATCATAGTATTATTTTATACCTTAAATCGAGTATAAATTTTCCGAAAATATCTAACGCATCGCTTGGCAAGTCCAAATGAATCAATGAAGCATACATTTGCCTAATCCTACGCAAGATATGTAAAAGCCATACAGCATCCAAATCATTGCTACATGTATTTCTCATGGCTTCCATGGCATGCTGCATGCTTGATAAAACCAGATTCTGTACCATAACAATTAATGTTTTTTTTTTTTTTTTGTGACAGAAATTGCATTTTTAAACAATTCAAATTTTGTAAAAGCTTGAATATACCTTAAAAGGTGTTTGTTTTTCTGCATCTACTGCTACATGTAATTGCCCTGTAAAGTAACTTTGGCCTAATCTCCACAAGTCTGGTAGTTGTTCAACTATAATGTCACAAATTGTTTCAATAGATGATATTTGTGGTGGTGTACTAGTTCCATCAGTTTTATTCAATTTTGATTGTTTATTGATCTGTGTTGACTTCACTTTGTTGAAATCTTCTCCATTGGAATTATCTATTTCCAAATGTTCTTGCATACAAGTGGTAATACTTTTTTTCAAATAATTCGAATGGAAAACTAGAAAAGTAAATTGTTAATGCTTGAATATTTAGAATATTGTATAGAATATTATATATAAGTACCTATTGCATCCCAAGCTGGATCTCCCTCAGCTTCCAAATTAACAAGATTTCTGATTATTTTCTTATGTTCTTCTAAACTAAAGGGCATTTCTTCAAGCTTTTTTCTTAGATGTACTTTTAACATATCGATTCTGTTGTCGATTTCTTCTAATACTTTTTTAAAAACATCGACTTCAGTACTTTTAAATAAATTTTTTACCCTCGCGTAGTCATTAATTACGAGATCATAATTGCCTCGTTTTATGTTTTTTTCTATATTAATTGGCATACAAAAAAGGAACTTGTATCTTTGCATTACAGCCAATGCATTTCTTGTTGCATCTGCTCTATCTCTCCTTGCTAACACATCATCAAATAATTTATTAGCCTCTGACATGGATTGTTTAATAGCTTTTTCTAGTTTTTCAGTAGGGTCAGGGCCATATGTTTTTATATCTGCTTCAAACTGTTCCTTTAATAATATTATAGTGTCTAATTGTTCCACTACTGAACCTACATTAGCCTAAAGAATAATAAAAGAATATTGAGTAGACATAGATATCAACGCTACCCTTTTTTCCTTGGTTCAACAATCACCTTTAAAAATGATAATTGACCCTCTTTCTGAGAATTCACTTTTCTTTTTAGATATGCTAATCCAGCTTTTAAATCTTCAAAAGTAGTAGCATGGTGGTGTTGTAATAAAAACCAACCAGGATGGAACTTTTCACTAGTAAGATCTCCGCTACCCTCTCCAAAAAGTTCCATTAACTCATCTTCAGGAAATTTTTTACTACAAATAAACATATTATAGTATTTATATTATTTTGTAAAAAAATAAGTATAGTCATAATCATACTCATTGCCCTCTACACTTAGACCCAAAGGATCTTCCTGTTGATAATTTGTTGGGGAAAGTGTTCTTCTTCCCCAGACAAAACTTTGCATAGGAGCTTCTTCTACCCATACTGCAGACTCTTTCATAGGGCCTATAGTTTCATGATAACCACGAAATTGTACTGTTGATGTTCCTTGCCCTCCATTTCGTGTAGTTACTATAATATCTCCACGACCTTTACAAGGTCCAGATCTAGCAATGATTTTATTAGAGGACTTCCATTCTGCTGATAATAGACAATCACACCCACATATTGTTAAACCTAGATACATGAAATATTACATGAATAATAGTACTTTTTTGTCGTAAAAATGATATTTTCAGGTGACTTGACATATGAAATTAACCTATAAGATCCTGCGCTTTGCTACCCAGGAATTCACCGCGAACTATCACGCGTGTTCCAGGAGGTCCTTCTTTCGGTGATATGCCCGTTACCACCGGTGGTGGACCCATCTCCTTGATTATATTTTAATACAAAATTCTACTATCTTTGCACAAATAAATATTGATTACACATAATTTTAACTTTAATGCTAAAAATCCTACTTTTAGATCATTGAAAGCACACTATAATTTTTAAAATTTTATAAAACTGCTAAAGTCTATTCTACCCATTAGTGCGTGAAAAGATGGGCAGATCAGAGAAAAACCTCGAACTCTATCAAAGGAAATGACGGTCCATAACACAATGACAGACGTGACTATTAATGTCATAGAGTGGGAGGTAGATGAATTTAATGAAACGTATCAAAGGAGGGCAGAAATTTATAATAGGATTATACATATATTCCAAAAGCGTTGAAAATTATTCAGAGTAACTTTTATTGCGAATTAGTTTTACCACTAAAAAGAATTAAGTTGCAAACAAAATGATTAGAACTGTGACACATTTTCGATACTTATTTGTAGATATTTACATCGTCGCGTAAAGTGACTATTTGATTGCTTATGTAAAACTTTACAAATATTTATTAGAATAACTGTTAAACCTTAAAACTATACTCTGTTTTGTAAACTTGAATCGAAATTAATTAAAAATTATAGTTTAAATGTGAAATAACCATAGACACATTGACATTATTACACAATTGTGGTCAAAATCATGCAGTGGCATGTACAGTAAAATAATGCAATACTTTAAAAAAGAAATGTTTATTTTTTATTTAAACATTTATGGATGCACTCTTGTATATATGCACATATGTATATAATAAACCATAATAAACAAAAGTTCATGCGCATGCTTGTCCCAAATGATACAGTATATAGAAAGGTCTTGTTGACATCAATAATCGAACCGATGACCTGACGTTGACTGAATGTAGACAGGCATTGTTCCATGAGAATTCTTCTTTATTTGTGATCGATTGATGCGCCATCTTCGGAATATGAGGAGGCAATACTAGTTAATGCGCATTAGTGCGTCTGCCGATCACAGAGTATA